TAAAATTATTAAATTTTTTATTTTAATGTAATTGTTAAAAATAATTAATATTTATTATTAAATAAATTAAAATAAAATTTAAATAATTATTTTTAAATATTATAATTAACTAATAAAAAATTATAAAATTATAATGAAAATTAATAATCTTATCCAATCCAATTCTCTCTTATCTCATTATTTGTGTTTTGTATAATCCTATCCTAACTTGCATTCCAAACATACTGCAAAAGAGTTGTTTATAAATGATTTTGTCCTACTAAATGACTAGATTATGGTCATCCTATCAATCCAGTAAATAGCTACTTTGTCTAATGAAAAAGCCTTGTACCAGTTGGAGATGATGTGGCAAGGGTGGGACCTATAAGGTAAGGTGGAAAAAAAAAATTTTAAGGCCTAATTGGTGTGACCTTTGCACTTGACGGTCAATAAACAGTACCATTAGCTTGCATTGGATGGAGAGACGGCATTAATAGGTTTTAGCATTGCAGAGGGACAACAAGTGGAGTTAATTGATAATAGAGGGATGACATGGAGCCAATCCATAGTTAAAGGTTTAGATTGCACTATTTTTTATAGTAGAGGGACGATAGATGGCATTAACCTAAAGTAAAATGATTGTTAAAATGAATGAAAGTATGTAATTTGTTTAAAGTGGACTTACGATTTTTCTCTCCTAAAGTGAGGCGGGGGAGGACTAAGGACAAGGAGTAGCCACTTTAATGAGTAGGTAATAGGTGTCCCTCTTCTTCTCCAACCTGCTGTGCCTTTTTGGAGGAAATCACGATACAGTCAACAAGGTGTCTAACAAATCATGGCGGAAAAAAAACACAGAAAGAATAAGAACAAATACTCTTACGTGACGTCTCACGCAACCAGAGGATACACATGTTTTTGTCTTTTGTCCTTTTATTTGATAGAAATGATTTTTTAATACGAAACTGTTATAGAAAAAACTACAATCTAACTAATAAAATTATTAAGTTACATTTAATTAAACTCCACTTTACATTTATTCATTAATAATATCTTGATATAATTATAAAATATTAGTATTTGTTAATTAAGTTTCAAAAAATTTAGAGAAAAAATATTTTAAAATTATATTATTTCATTAAATGTTTTATTAAAATATTATAAAAAAAATATCAAAACAAACTCAATTTTAATTTAAAAATTAATTTAATTTAGTTTGCTTTAATCAAAACTTATTAAAACAAAAAAAATTTAGAGTTTTTTTTTTTCCTTTTAATCTTTTAAAAATTTGACTGACAAATACTTTTTTTTAATTATGATATCTAAATTGCTCTTTTTTTATACAATCTATATTAAGAAACTAATATCTTTATTTATTTATTTCAATTTTTCTTCTGCACTGCCCTATGGGCTAGTCCTAAAATTGAAGGGCCTGAAAACAAGTAAGCTGAGCAAGTGCAGACTCTGCGACCCAGCCCAACTAGTTGTCTCATTTTTTATCTTCATTTGGGCCATGTACGACTCCTTAGGGAAACAGGCCAGCAGTCATTGCATCATTTCACGCTCTGCCTCTTCAAACCTGATTTCCTCCATTTCTGTGTCCCTTCCCCCATCCCCCCCCCCCCTCCTTTCGCTTGCCAAAACCCCACAATTTATCCAAATCTAAGCTTTGTATCCCTAATCAAAAGACCCAAGAAACCTTCATCATCTGCTCAAACTATTATCACCTCTACCTCAAGGAGAAGAGGAATACTTATTACCTACCTATTACCTACACAAATCTTATAATCAGTTCAATTCAATGGAAACAGGATCGGGACATTCAGGATCAGGAGATTTAGGACCAGAAGATCTCCTTAAAACAAGCATTCTATATCGAGAGAAGGAGCAGGTCAGTTGCAATCCCCACATAACAAATACTAGAGACCCAAACACATGTTTTAGTTTGGATACTTTAATTTGAATGAATTATTGCTAGAACATAAGCAATAGCAAAATTTTGATTCAAATGTAATGACAAAGGGCAGGTCCCCCTCCAAGGGCTGACCTCTATGAGTTCTAGCATTTGAAAAGGTAAATAAAGCAATGTTATAAGTGACGGAGAGGATGCAATATCTTGCCAACGAATCCACTTCATTTATATTCAAATGATGGCACTGGAGGAGCATCGAAGCTCTCCAAAACCTGTGTCTTACTTCCACTACTTGTTGTCTCCTGCTTCTTTTCACCACCAAAAAGGCCACCAAACCATGACGAAGAAGAAGATGATGCAGGAGGTGTTGGTAGTGTTGACGATACTGGGGCTTGACCTGGCAATTGTCCCATTGGAATTCCAGGCATACCGGCCACATTTGGTGCTGGCTCTTCCATCATGATAGGCATATTCTGTGGTGCACTGAGAACCTTATTCAACATGATGCCTGCTCCTTCAATCAAAGCAAGCAAAACACCACCAAAGATTGCTGATCTGGAAGCAGCACCAAATCCCTGACGCATCGAAAGAAAACCTCCAGTGGCAGCACCTGCTATTATCGAGTTCCATGGATCCTCTTTCTGCCGCACGTAGACCATTGTGCAATCAAATGTGGAAAAAAGGCCACCCCAAACAGCAAAACTACCACCAACTCGAGGGGCATTCATACGAACGGCTTGAGTGCCTCCAACCAGGCGAGCCCCACTAGGAGAGTTATATACACCTTTCAAAAAGTGGAATGCTGCACCTCCAACAGCACCCATACCAAATGCACCACCAATATCATCAAGAATACGGTCAGGGCAAGGCTCTCGAGATGTTTCTGGGGTCCCCATGAGTCACTAAGAATATGAATCTAAACCCTCAATATGTGAAATCTCCAACTCTTAGCACTCCCTAATAATAAAACCACAGCAATTAGGGTACTAAAAATGATAAATCCCACAATCAAAATATAAACTTGGTATCAAAAAAGGATAATGTTAACAAGCAATAAATTACACTTTTTTTTTTATAATATTAAGACTAAGAGAAAAATGTTTATCAGTCATACCTGCAAAAAATTAGGCAAAAAAATCTGTAAAACTACATAGTTGTGAATGTTTTTCCGCCTAATCTTTTTGCAAGTTTAGCTAATAAACACTAATCTCTAAAACGAATATCAATCCGCACAACATCCCAAGACCTATTTGGCTCAAATTTCCCTAGCTATAGCTCGACTTGAAACTTAATCAACACCCTCAAACCTAGCACAATCATAAAACCCAATTCACGCGTAATTAACAAAGGATTAAAATTTTGAGGACAATTAAAATCTCAAATGACCCAAGATAACAATCATATAAATGATCCTAAGCTAAAACCCATGAAACCCACATGAAATAAAAACCAAACTTGTGAAAGGAGCCATCATGTTTTGCAGTTTCAAATAGTTTCCAAACCGCAAGAACCCAGAAAATCAAAGAAAGA